TGGCTCGTATGATCCTCCTGTCTCAGCCTCCCCAGTGCTGGGATTATAGGCATGCACCACCACCCCTGGTTTTAGTGGCCAGCGCATTGTGTCCAGGTCCCTGCGCTTGCCAGCCAGGTGCTTAGACCGCTGAGCTATCTCCCCAGCCCCAGCTGCTGCTTCTGTGTAGCCAGCCAGGCCAGCTTGACCACATCCAGCTGCAGTGTCTGTGTTTTTCAACTTGCAATACGTACATAGGTAGGTTTGTTTCAGCTCATTTTGGAGCTCCATGAGGTGCCCAGAGCACACTGGCCCCACCAAGGTCGCTTTCTCCTCTATCTACTCTTCTCAGACCCCCTCCCTCCCAGAATTCTCCTGTCTAATGATAAACAATTCCTATAAGCAAACCTATTTTATTATTATTATTATTATTTTTTTTTTTTTTGGCGGAACTGGGGATTGAACTCAGGCCCTTGTGCTTGCCAGGGAAGCGCTTATTCCATGGAACCATCTCCCCAGCCCCTAGCAAACCTATTTTAAAACAAGTCCACCTGACAATGGATGACATAATTCTTGGATTTCATGGAAGCGTGTAATAACCTGCTATCATCTTCATACTTCCTGCTTGAAAACTATATTTAAGCTGAACTCAAGCCTGACTCTGGGCTGATGATTTGGAACTGGTTCCCATCATCCCACTAGCATAATAAAAGTTGCCTTCTAACTCCTCGGTGCAAAGAGTCTTCCATTTGGATTAATATTGGTTTTTCTGCAACTTGTGGGTAGCTCTCTGGCACGCTTCTGTACTTGACTTTTTAGATGAATGTTACAAAATAATCCTATAAATTATATGTACCATATTAAATTTGTTCCTTTGCAAACCCCGAATACAACAAATAGCCATTTCTTAACAGAAGAAAATTTGTTTATTTTTGGTGGTACCAAGGATCAAACTCAGGACCTTGTACTTGCCAGGCAAGCACTTACTCCCCTGAGCTATCTCCCCAGCCTTTTTTTTGGCAGATGAAAATATTTTATCACCTATGAAGAAATTCAAATTTTGTCCATAAAGTTTTATTGAAACAAGCTATATTTGTTTACATGCTGTTAATGGCTACTGTCACACCAAAACAGCAAAATGGAGCACTGTATGGCTGCAGCGGATAGAGAGCCTTCCCAGTCCTTGCGGAGGCATAGGAGGTTTATATTTGTCATCCCACGGGTAAATTATTGAATTCCCGTC